TTCTGATATAACCCTATGTATCACCCGCGGTCATGACCACGGGCCATTTTACCGCATGCTGTCATGGTCATGGCCGCGGGGGGCAGCCGCGGGGGCTAACCGCGATCAAAACACCGCGTGATTTAGAAAAAATAGAATAGTAGGCTAGGCTACCAGCCGGGCCGCCCGGGTCACCCTATTTTCCCCGGCGGCACGGCCGTGCAAGGACCAGGAAATGTTCCCGCCAAAAAAAAAAAAAAAAAAAAGAGAACCCAAAATTGAAAAATCTGAAAAAAAACTATGTTATGTAGAAAAATAAACTGAACAACTTTTGCATCAGGGTCACATCGAAATTCTTTACCAAATTTAAAATAAAATAAAATAAAATAATCTCTGTCCCGGGCCACTCTGGTAGCCTAAAAAAAAAAAAAAAAAGAAAGGTAAAAAAAACACGACAGGAGGGGGGGAAAAAATTAACTCACATCTCTGTATTCTATTTCAAAATGTGTCGCGTGGAATATGTGCAGCTTAGGGAAGAATGTGTCCGGCGGGTTCAGAAGAACAGAGCTGAGCTCTTATGGCAGCTGCGGCAATCCCAGGGCGTCAACACGAGACCAGACCAGGCGGGAAAGGTGCGTGTCCCGGCCAGCTTAAGAACACGTTATAGAAAACTCGTTGAGGACTCCCGGTTGAGGAAAAGCCATCCTGCCTCCCCTTCTTCTTACCGGCCCTTGCTTGTGCTTGTCGTGTAACCCCTTTTTTTTTGCTTGCCGGGGACAAGTAATCGGACTGGTGCCCCCCAGAATCGAAGAGGCTGTGTGTCTCTTCGTTATTAAAAAAAAAAAAAAAAAAAAAACACGTGAAAAAGGCAAAGGAAATTTCAATATTTATTAGAAACTAATTGAAACTTTTTGAAGTTAAAAAACAGGGTATGCACAAATACTTTGGAAAGTTTTGACCCTTTTTTTGTTTTTTTTTTAAGCTATTCTCTCAATTTCACCTCACACTACCTACCTACCACTACTACTAATTGTAGGCATACGGGGAACCCCGTAACAGCCAGAACCATGTTCACGAGAGAACATGCGGGGGCTGCTACCAGCCCGGATGTTGGGGTCTCTTCGGGGTGTCCGTGTAGTCCGAGGATTCAGCTGGACAAATCACTCCCCTCCCCCTTCGCCCCCTTCCCTGAATTGATAGCCATCAGATTTTCCTGCAAATAATCTTGATAATCGTCGGCTTTCCCTGCCAATACCTCGACAACTGTCATGTTTCCTTGCACAGGCCACGGCATCTGTCATATTTCTCTGCACAGCAGCACAGGCCCCGACAAAGTGTCGGAATGCGAAAGATTTGTATGAGATGCAACCACCAAGCAGTCCAATTACAATCGTACAGAGTCTCATAAACACGCGCGTGAAAGCAAAATCAGCAATAGCTGTTGTCAACACCGATAAAACTCCCGACACAAGTGCGTGAAAGCAAAATCAGCAATAATTTGTCTGATTTCCCTGCGTAGACCTTGATAACAGTCAGATTTCCCTTCATAAACCCCAACAACCGTCAGATTTCTCTGCATAGACCCCGATAACCGTCAGATTTCTCAGCGTAGACCTCGATAACCGTCCGATTTCCCTTCATAAACCCCAATAACCGTCAGATTTCTCTGCATGGACCCCGATAACTGTCAGATTTCCCTTCATAAACTTCGATAACCGTCAGATTTCTCTGCCTAGACCTCGATAACCGTCAGATTTCCCTTCATAAACTCGATAAGCGTCAGATTTCTCTGCACAGACCCCGATAACCATCAGATTTCCCTTCGTAAACCTCGATAACCGTCAGATTTCTCTGCATAGACCCTGATAACCGTTAGATTTCCCTGTGAAGACCTGAACATTGGGCAGTGAGAGAACCTCCCTAAAAAATGTGGTTATAGTGTTTTGGTATAGGTGCTTGTGTGTCCGCACCAGTGGGATGATTACTGCATGTATAGAGAGACAGGAATGGGGGTAACAAACTAAGGAGGAAGAGAGGAGCTATGGTGGGGGAGGCTGCGCTTCTGTGCCAAGCGGAATTTCAGCGGCGTTGGCGGGAGTCCAAACGTGCAGGACGAACAATCGTTTTTGTTTTGTTTTGTTAGGTCCCTTTCTTTTCTGAAAGGGTTGGCCCTCGCCTTATCGTCTCCAACAGGAGAATTCGAAGTTCGAACACTGGATCTGTTTATCGACTGTTAGTATGTGTTATCAACAACTGTAGAGGGGTAGGTTGGGATATAATCAGTCATAAGACAGTCTGGTGCTGCTTTTTGTGGTCTTCTTTTAGAGGAGGGGTAGTACCCCGCTGCTTCTTCGGTCAGCTTTTATAGGTGTGGTATGACACGATTCACGCTGCAGACATTCCCAGCCCTGGTCCCACGGTCTCGAAGTGTCCCATTCCCAGACGGTCTCGGTGCCAGGCTGTCCCAGTATGGTAGGTTGTAGGGTCCATAGGGTGAAGGGTCGTAGTTTGGTAGGTGTCGGTACCGAAACGTTATAGGTCGGTAAAAGTCAGTCTGGTACCCGACAAGAAAAGTCCAGTCCAGGCCAGTACAGTCCCAAGTCCTATTTTTGCCGCATGTCCCAGGAAAGTCCGGAAGCTACCGGGGAGACAAAGTGATTGCATCAGACAGGCCAGGGCCGACTGGTACCGGTCCGAAGCAGGGCAAGCCATGTCCAGCTCTCTATATTTGGCCGCTACAGTGCAGCAGCGGGGCACTTGTCCAATTGCAAGATGTGGAAGCGCTGCTGCTGCTTGAGCGTTAAGGCAACTTGGGCACTTTCGCCGAAGGAGGAAAGGGGGCGCTTGAGATACTTCGTAGTTAGGGTAGAGCGGCCATAGCCGCCAAGTGTGAAGCTCACCTGAGTGGGAATATCCAGGGTTACGATCTAGGGTAGAGAGCGAGGGTGAGGCAGAGCGAGCCGAGCCAGAGAGAAGAGCGAGACTGCAGAGAGAGAGAGAAGCCATAGCCGTCATCCCGTTGAGATCAGTTCTGTGTGTGTGTGTGTGTGTGTGTGTGTGTGTGTGTGTGTGTGTGTGTGTGTGTGTGTGTGTGTGTGTGTGCCAGAGCCGCTGGAGACATAAACATTTCGTTGTATAATAATGATAATAATTTTGGTGACGGCTTCCACAGTGTTGATTGTATCTCAGCTTCGACTTCTCACGTGTGAACTCTCGAGGTGATGCGAGGTGAAACTTGATGAGAAGTTGGTTCATTTCAAGTACGCTGGTGCTTTTTGTCTCAGGTTTTCCAGGGGTAGTACGCTGCCTCTTTTCTTTTGTTTTTGTGTCAGGTTTTCGAGGGGTAGTAGTACGCTGAAGGTTTTTGGGTCGCAGCTTTTAAGATAGCTAGTACACTGCAGGTTTTTTTGGGGGGTTCGCGGCTAGAGGAGAACTAAAGCAGCTCCCTGAGGAATTACAGCACAAGGCCAAACAGTGACCCATAAGAACCGTAATGGAGTTCTTTTGGGGGGCTAGCTACGTGTAGCTGTTAGAGGAGAACTAAAGAAGCTCCCTTTTTTATATGTAATGGTTATCTTTCGGGTCACTGTTTGGCTTTGTGCTGTTTTCTCGAGTCCGTTTTCTTCGTCGAGTGCAGAGCAGAATTACATCTCAGTGCTCGTTTGTCGTTTTGAATTTATGCTGTTGTTCTTTGTGGGCCGTTTTGGAATCACAGTGGCAGCCCGTACGTTCCCCTTTCCCGAGGGCACATCATGTCTTTTTCAGGACTTGTGGTTACAGACTGTCTTTCCTGAAATCCATGAGGTCTCTGTTTGCGATCTATGTGCCGTATGTGAACTCACGTGTTGAGCTGAATCAACACGACCCTTGGGATTTTTCAGGGCAGGAGAGGGCAGGAGGGTTCATTGCTCAGTTACCACAGTTAGGAGGTGATAGGAGAATGGTTGTCGGAGAGGCATTGTGCAAATCTAAGGTCTATACAGATAGCTGATCGAACGGATTTGTTGGTCCGAACTTGGTCGGTTATTGGATCTATAGCATATTCAACAGGACTCTGCTTAGCAATGGCGGAATTGGAACTCATGTGTAGGGTGGGATGTTGCCAACCAACCTGAGGGAGAACCTGTCCTACTCTTTTCACACCGCGAATAGAACGTACAATCATTATATTTATGCTGCATCTAGACTGAAAGTTGGCCCAAACACGACATTTACGCCCGTATGTTCTTATTCGGATTCTATTCGGTGGAGGACGGTAGGTGGATGAACATTGTCTGGTATGTTCAGAGGTTTCAACACACACTGAATGGTACTCGCCTTGACAGGTGCAAGTGGTTGGAGGAAGCATGCATGTGGTATGCACCACACGGGCCATTTGGGCCCGGGGGTAGTAGGTTTGGGGCTAGCTAGTGGTTAGGGGTTCGTTAGTTCACCTGACTTTGCATGAGAGGCAGAAGAGGCAGAAGCGATGAGTACCTGCCTGCCTCGTAGCGGAATCGTACAAACCTGTAATTGTTTTGATAAAGTTATTTGAGAGTTCATACCCTGATGGATATACCGTAACGATAGGAGCAACCCTCTCGAAGGAAAAAGCGAAAGAAAGACTGGAGGCTCAAGCAATGTGGGGAGTGTCCTCGCCTTGGAGACAGGAGGTCTTTGCCTTTTGTCTGAGTTTGAATTTTCGTGGAGGCGATTGCTTTGCAGTGATTGGATTTACTTGCTCGTGACGCTATGTGGGGCTTTCTCTGCTGCGAAAGGGGAAAGGTGCAGACTGAGGATGTGAACTTGGTGGTGCCAATTTTGGGAGTACATTTCACAGTCCACAGTGGTTTGGTTTGCTGTCCCCTGTCACCGAGCGCCTTCCGCATCTCTTTCCCTTAAGATGGCTGGATGGTAGCATGGGTTAAGGTCCTGCGCTCGTCAAGGTGGCTAGATGGCTGTTTTTTTCCTTTTTCTTTCCTCTTTGTAAAAGGGCGACAGTCTTGACATATCATCATGGAACTGACCCCCCTCCCCTCCCCCCCCCTCCCCCAACCCAAGGTAATTGAAGAATTCCATTCATCTAGTTCCATTTGGATTCGAACTCAGGTCTGGATTTCAACAAGTCATGGGTTTACCAACTGAGCCAGCTGGGCGCATTGGTTAGATGGCTAGTTTTTTTTTTTTTTTTTTTTTTTTTTTCAGATGGCTAGTTTAACAAGCTGCAAGAGGCCTTTTTTTCCTCCCCTCAGGCCAGCAGCCCTGGCACTGGCTTTCGACTGCGCTTCGCCAATGATGTGGAGAGTATTTCTGATATGGTTGTGGGGAGGCTGGCCAACTGGAGCATTCTTCCAGTTAGCAGTACTTATGCAGGCTAAGGGGATTGCACTGTTGGCTGTGAAAATGAAGAAGACAACAAATACACAGTGATGAAGTGTTGGAGTTGTTCTCATCACTTCACATGGTCATCTGATACCTTGTTCTCTCCTGCCTTCCCTGCTGTTGCTGCAGCCCTGCAACTCATGGGGCATGGTTATGCGGAGATTCGCTGCTGTTTCTGCATGCTCTGCATCGTCATGACGTCAATGAGTGGCATAATGTCAGAGTCCTAGCTCACAGTATCCATGCCAGATCGGCCTCCGATTTTCTCCCGCTGGCGCTGTTGCAGTTGACATCTTTTGGGTGTGATTCTCTACTGGCGTGCATGTGGTTTCACCAGGCTTGACGGGTCCCATTGCCTATGCTGACATGGAGAGGAAGAATGGCAGGTGCAGTTCTTTTGTTCCCTTGGCAGATGTCCAATCTCCTTGTGCTCTCCCCCTTTCATCTGCTGTTTTGCAAGAATACCCCCGATCAGTGCGATTGTTTAGTTATCGGTTTGGGTCCTTACTTCGTCTGTTTCACTGACATCGGGCTGCGGCACTGTGGGTGGCTGCAGGTTGATGTTCTAGGAGTTGTCCAGTCCGGCACCCCGCGTGTGAGTCGCAGACTTCGGGAAGGGGCAGCAGGGAGTTCATCCGGCTGTGCAAGACAGTTGTGCGTATCAGGGTTTTGCGCAGCTTTTCTCTTCAGCCAAGTGGCGCTTGCGATGAGTGGCATAAATTGGGGTGGTGGAGGGCGACCAGGAGGAGCGGGAGTGGGAGCTGGAGCGGAGGAAATAGCTGCGCAGTGGGTGCGTGGAGGATCGGGGCGGGCACACACGAATAACTGGGCTGTTCTCGTCTGCACCTCCCGGTACTGGTTCAACTACCGCCATGTTGCGAACACGTTGTCCTTGTATAGGACCGTGAAGCGGCTCGGCATTGCTGATGATCACATCATCCTCATGCTTGCCGACGACATGGCATGCAATGCACGTAACACGTACCCTGCACAGGTGTTTAACAACAAGAATCGTCGTTTGAATCTTTACGGGGACAACGTGGAGGTCGATTACCGAGGATACGAGGTGACGGTGGAGAACTTCTTGAGAGTGCTAACAGGGAGGCACGATCCTGCAGTTCCTCGGTCGAAGCGCCTTCTGACGGACGCCGGCAGCAACATTCTGATCTATATGACTGGGCACGGAGGCGACGAGTTCCTAAAGTTTCAAGACTACGAGGAGATTCAGAGCCACGACTTGGCGGACGCCATTCAGCAAATGCACCAGAAGGGTAGGTACAACGAAGTCCTGATCATGGTGGACACATGCCAGGCGAGTACGTTGAACACGCAACTGTACTCGCCCGGCGTGATTGCCATCGGGAGCAGCAAGAAGAAGGAGAACTCGTATTCCCATCACATGGACAGCGATGTCGGGGTTTCCGTTGTCGACAGATTCACGTACTATACTCTAAGCTTCTTTGAAAATCTTGACATCAACAGTTCTGCCTCGATCTTAAGCTTGTTCCAGTCCTTCAACCCAGCCTTGCTGCTCTCGCATGTGGAGTATCGTACAGACCTTTTCCAGCGGGACATTTCGAGGGTTCCTGTCACAGACTTCTTTGGATCTGTAATGAATGTGAAACACACCTTTGCTGCTTATCCAGACTTCCAAGGTGATGGAAGCAGCAGCGAAGAACGCACTGTGGTGCCAACAACCCTCACTGAGCAAGAAAAAACAGATCGCCTGCAAGTAGGCGCTGCTGATGAGAACTACAAAGATAGACCTGCTGGGGATGCAGCGCAATCAGAGAGCTCGAATCCCACCCCTTTCTCAAAAAAGATGTCCGGGGGACACGGGTCGAACACCCACAGCCGTGACCTGAGTAGTTGTGACTCCGTGACATATCAAATAGACTGGAGGGACAATCAAGATCAGTGTTCAGACTTGCCAGTGTTGGCAGGCATGATAGGTTTGGGATTCCTGGTTATGGTGGTGTCCTTGATGTCAGCGGAAAGACGGGTGGAGAGGGTTCCAGCGTCTTGTATCGCTTACTAGATAGAGGTAAAACCAGAAACCAAGGAGTCGTTCCCTCCGTCGCCTTACTTCTGGCTACCTGTGACCACACTCAGGGCATACTCACACTCGGACTATTTTGACTGAGCTCTGGACGTGATTACTGTCAGATGCATCCAGGTCTGGCCGTAATTTCAGTCAGATAACGTTTGTTAGTGCGAGTATGGCCTCTCTGGGTGGGTGTGACCACGACTCAAATTGCAGAGTCCTTCGCTCTGCGTGGCCTCTCCGGGTGGGTGTGACCACGACTCGAATGACTACAAGATGCAGATTGTCAAGTAATGCATGAACTGTGCTGTTTCCTACGACGCAGTTGCAGCAAAGAGAGCTCGCCTCCCACACGGTAGAGACCGGACCGAAGCGGTTGATGACATCATCGTTGCTTGACATTGCAGTCGCTACCGTCTTACCCCGTGTAGAACCTACGGTCGCTATTGCTCCGTCTACTAGACTGAAAGATGCTCCAAAAATACACAGCTGAAATGACTGTACGGTGTACGTTCTATTCGGGGGAAGGCGGTGGAGCATAAACTCGCTGTCAGTGAGAAGGGCCAGCAAAGGCCATGCAACCAGTCCATGGACCTCTGCTTAGGAGCTCAGATGGTAATGATTATGATGGTTGTGCCATTCTCTCTCTACGGCGATGATTCGTGTGGGCTTATACCTGCTTGGCATTGCCCTGGTTGTGGGGATGGTTACGTCTGGTTTATCAATGCTCGAGATTACAGTTGATGGCACAAACACAGTATAGTATGTCGGAGAAGGGCCTGCCTGACAAGTGTGTGTAAGATGAGAGAACTTTACTACAAGCAGTGAAGGCTCACTGATCATGATGACAGAGTGGTTGTGGTGACGGTTAAGATGGCGATAATGTTCATGAGAAGTTATGGGTCACTCTGAATAAGAACAGTGGTTGATATATCTGAGCAACCACGGGCTGAGAAGATGTGAACCAGGTTGCAACGCACCATGAACAAAATGTCAAGAAGACTTCAAGATGATATATTAAGAAGATGCCGAGACGGGAAAATGCCGGAGACGATGCCGAGACGATGCCGAGACGATGCTGTGACGATGTCGAGAAGATGTGAAGAGGAATAATGTTGCAAAGGTGTCGAGAATATGCCAAGAAGATGTGGAAGATGATACTAAGAAGATGTCATGGACTACTGGTAGAGAATTTGCTGATGTTGGCAGTCATAGACTGCTTAGTGGCAAAGCATGATGGCGCTTGAGAGTTCAAGTGTTCGGAGATTCATAGCTTTCCTTGTCATTGGAAGAATTAGAATTCTTACTTGTTGAGGACTTCTGGTAGCAAATTTGCTGACATTAGCAAAACCCGTCAAAGGCGGAGGAGAGTGATGGCAGTGATCAGAGAGGCATAGGTGCCTTGCCAATTGGGAGAGTTTGTACTGTTGGTGTAATGTACTGTGAGCCAGTGAGAGCTCACACCGTTGCTTCATCGCCCTTGGCTGTCATGAGTCAGGACATCAACTAGTACATTACTTGAAGCAATGTAACAACACAGAGTGATGGAGGTGGGCAGACCGACAGGTGTGAGTTGCAAGCAAAGAACTTGTCTGTATACCATTTAACCAGAGACAGAAAGACAGTGGCTAGCTGAGGTATACTTATTCCTTTTTTTTAATTAAAAAAAAAAATTATTATTCCATTTTGTTCGGTATGCTTTCAACTGGCAGCATGTGTGTTGGCGAAAGGTCCTAAAGGCGCTTATGGTACATATATGCCATCCTGAGTCGGAGTTTGGTAGATATCTAGCTGTCCTGTTCCTTGAGATATCATCACTGAACTGATGGCCCCCCGAGTAATACAGAATGGATTTGTTCTGTTCATCTGATATTATCTGGATTTGACTCATTCGAGCTCGAGCCTGTATTTCAGCAGTTCATGGGTGTAGCTCGGCTCGTTGGTGTCTAGCTGTCCCATTCCGTTCCGCCGAATCATCTGATAGTATCTGGATTCGAGCTCGAGTCTGTATTTCAATAGTTCGCGGGTGGATTAACTGAGCTAGGCTCGTTGGTGTCTAGCTGTCATGCCGATTCATCTGCTAGTATCTGGATTTGAGCTCGAGTCTGTATTTCAATAGTTCATGGTTGTACCAACTGAGCTAGGCTTGTTGGTGTCCACACTGTCTAGCTGTCCCATCACTCCGCCGATGGTTCCGGTTTACCACAGTTTAGCAGAGTTCTGACTAGATGTAAAATGCACCGCTAGGTGGGAAACGGACGGCTAGGTTTCAAATGGACAGCCGGCGCCGATCGGAGAGCAGCCCGGATGTGTTCCATATCCATTTAAACCACCAGTACTTGGCCCAGCTATCGATGCCGAGCCTGGAATGCCCCTGCGTGCCAATTTTCGCCGAAGCGCCGGGGTACCGTTTCAAAATTCTTTTTGCTGGCGCTTCCAGCCATTGTGGTCCGGTACCCCGAAGCCCTAAAGGCGCAGCGCGTATACGGGAAAGCGCCGCGGCCGATAGCTGGGCCAAGTACTGGTGGTTTAATTATCATTCTGTTTGAGGACCTTGTAATGAAATGTATGTATGGCCAGATGTCTTCTGTCAGTAAAAGCGACATTGGATACAGTGTTGGTGTGACCACAGAGTGGGGACATTGACATTCGAGTTCATTGTATTGCTCGTATTTGGACGGTATCTTGGTGCATTGCACTCTCTCTGCTTGGTTCATGACTATCTGAGCTTCTTCGTGATTTTGCAACTTGGTTTTCTGTCTATCGCTCTCTCGCGCATATTCCTTGCATTACCATGCCCCCTGCATAAGGATGACACACATAAATTGAGATATGGTCTAAATAGTAAATTTGGAAAAAAAGAAAAAGGAAATAACATTTGATGCTATCCACAAAGTGGGTAGCATGGGTAGCAGTACTTCTGCTCCTAAATGACGACTACAAAATCTGAAAAAAAAAGGAAATAAAGTTAATAAATATGAACCATCACGGGAGCACTTTTTTTTTTTTTTTTTTTTTTGGCTGGTAGGATTACAATGGCCCCTGTGCAAGGATGACACACATAAATTGACGTATGGTCTAAATTTGGAAAAAAAAGAAAAAGGAAATAACATTCGATGCTATCCACAAAGTGGGTAGCATGGGTAGCAGTACTTGTGTTCCTAAAAGACCGCTACCTCCGAGAGTCTCTTTTTGTTGCCGAGGCGGATTCCCTCTGCGAGCCAAAAAAATACGAACCGCCTCAGGCACTTTTTTTTTTTTTTGGCTGGTAAGATTAGCGTGTGGCCCCTGCACAAGGATGACACACATAAATTGAGATATGGTCCAAATTCGGAAAAAAAAGAAAATGAAAATAACATTTGATGATTTGAATGATTTGATGCTTAAAAANAAAAAAAAAAAAAAAAAAAAAAAAAAAAAAAAAAAAAAAAAAAAAACATTTGATGCTATCCACAAAGTGGGTAGCACTGTAGCAGTACTTGTGCTCTCGATAGCAAGGACATATGTGAATGATCATGCAATAGGGAGTGGCAGTTTTTCCAACCTTCGCTCCTTTTTTTTCTTTTCCTTTAAGAAAAAAAAAAGAAACTACACAATATTCTTCTGTCAAATTCCTTTTTGCCTTTCACTACCTACCAACCACTTCTCCTAAGGCTATATAGAAGGGACCCCTGCAAGCATAGCCACCTCACAATGAAGGGATTGCATGTTGCCTCCAACCCCAACAGCGGTAGTCACAGATGGGGTGGGGCCACCAGTGGGGCTCCGGCTAACGCAAGACTGAGTATTTTGTCAGTAGCTGTGCCGCGCTTTTCATCGTCCCCCACCCCTAATAGAATAGCAGTACGTGTCTAAGGCCAACACTCTCCCACATACCACATACAACCCATTCACACGCGCACTCACACCCGTGTTGGCCGAAGACCCTACCAGTACCCCGATCGGAGGTATCCAGCGGACTATCACAGCTGGTTTTGACACGAAGTGCGCCTCAGGTGGTTATGGGGCTTGAAACCACAACCTCCTGAACGCCACTTGCATGCCTAACCAACTGAGCTAGGCCGCTGGATTAATCTTCACTCTTAGATGCATCTTGTAGCTTGCCTTTTTGAAGATATAAGATGGTACGGACTCCCCATTTACTAGAGTTCAGACGATGATCAAATTGCCCGCCCTTTGTTCTTTCTTCTCAGTCCATGAGCTGTTTCTTTTTTTTATAATTATTTTAAACACGCCCTTATGGTCCTGGGACTCCTGGCTCCATATCCATTCTGGGCGGAGCATCAGTCCGGTTCTTCTTGCCCCGGCAAGTCGAAAAGATAAGTCAATTGAAGACCCACTCTTCCTTCCGTTTGGCCGAAGGACACCCTGCAGGGTCTGATCACCATTGATTACTCCATGTTCAGTGAGGATTGACTGTCAGCCTGCCTTTCTTCTAGAACTCGTCTCAGATCTGGCGTGCCGAGAACTCTCAGATCTACTTTAAAGCACCAGTAGACCACATATCGGTCCGCGGGTGTCAGCATGAAACCTGCACCACTTCGGAGGCCGCAAGTTTTTTTTCAACGGTGGGCCCGGCCGCGTGGCGCCTCCGAGTTTTGCTTCTGGCGACAAAAACTTTCTGCAAGGCTGGGGCCGTGGACTAGCGGTTTAAAACCAGATGCTGGAATGTACTCGGCGTTCCCAGGCACAGAAAATGGCACAGAGCAAGGGCCAGGGACAGCCCATGCACTTCTTCTTAGATTAACGAGTTCTTAAAGTTTATCAGGGGACTCACCCAAACAAGACAGCACACAGAACTGGTTCCTGGCATATGATGGGTGGGAATATGATGGCGAACTGCAATCTTATCCGGTACCCGATGCTCGTACCTGGATTTTTTTTTTTTTTTTTTTTTTTTTTGATGCTCCTACCTTGATGCAATGATTTGCAAGTCGATCACCCTCAACCGCGTACATACATGCAACGAGCATCCAGATGAGCGTTCACACTTGGAACTGATAGCTGAGACACAAAATATCTTTATTAAATTATTATACAAAAAGAAAGTGTTCATGTCTCTGTGGTCTCTGCCGCTCTCACTGACTCTGACTCAAACCAGGTATGTACCAGACTACAGCTCTCCCTATCCTTGTCTCTATGTCCACCCTTCTCTCTCTCTCTCTCTCTCTCTCTCTCTCTCTCTCTCTCTCTCTCTCTCTCTCTCTCTCTCTCTCTCTCTCTCTCTCTCTCTCTCTCTCTCTCTCTCTCTCTCTCTCTCTCTCTCTCTCTGTCTCTCCTGCCTTTGGATCCTGCCCTGGATACACCCGCTCAGTTCAGACTCAGACCTTGGCGGCTATGGCCGCGTTGCTCCCTTATCACTACCGTAGCTGTGGTTGGCGTCGACGCTCCCTTCTCCTTCGAACATTCGTCTTTCCCAAGTCGCTTGGCCACACAAGCAGCAGCAGCGCTTCCGCAACTTCACGAATGAACAACTGATGAGCCGCTGCCCTGTAGTAGCTAAATATAGGACTGGTCGTGGCTTGGCCTGCTTCAGACCGGTACCCGTCAGCCGCGGCCTGTCTGCTGCAATCATTTTGTCTGTTCTTCCTTGTAAGTAGTTGTTCCTCTCTGAATTCTAGTCCTGTGACCTGTGCCTCTGAACATACCAAGTTGCAAGCAGACACTCCCTGAAAGAGCTCAAATCCAGTCTCAGCCCTGCAAAATTTACACATTTGTCCCTGCAAGATGCTACGTACAGCAGGTACAGGCATCCTGATCAGTTAAAGTTAATCGGTTAGAATGCCAATCAGATATCCGAAATACCATGGAATCAAAACAATTCGGCCTGTCAAAATTAGCAGCCTCCAATGGCTTATCACCTACGTAGCTCTACCAGTCAACCAATGGCTACACATCAGAAGGAGGAGGAACGATCCCAACAGCTCGGACTATGCATCAGAAGACATGTATACGCTGTCTAATATGATGTAGTGAGGCGACTGAATACTGGGCTAGGGCATCTGATCTCTGGGAATCCCCTTTCCCTAACCCCCTTCCCTGAACACCCTATCCAACTCCTCGTATGTACTAACATCCCCGACCACTTCGAAAGACGGAGAGGACCTGGTTCGGCATGATCAGAAAGGTCACACAGACTCACACTTTGGTCCATACGGTAGGAAAGGTGCGGCATAACTCCTGAGGGCCTATCCAGTCCAAGAGAGAGTGTGTGGGCGGCTGCAAGGTTGCCGATTCAGGCTGAGATTCTCTGCAAATGGCAGAAAACCAAGCATTCCATCCCGGAAGATTTGGATCTGCAGCAGAATTTCAGAGCTAATTTTGCAAGGGTAATAGGGTATGGCTGGTGGGAGGCAAGGTAGTGGACATAAGTGGCTCCTGCCTATGATGGTGGAAAGAGTGGCACAACTCGGAAGTGGGGCTGAGAAGGCGGAGGTCCCAATCAGCGGATCTACGGAACCGGATACAGGCCACCTAATTTGACCGCATGACAGAGATCAGGATATCGTCAACGATACAGCAACTTTCTACAAGATCAGAGTTCTGGCTGGACAGCCCAGACAAGGGGCCTCGCTGCACTACTCTCAAAACGTGCAAAACGAGAGTGCATCTTCCTCCAGAATATGGAAAGATACAAGGCCATGATTTTTGTCTTTTGTGCATTTCAAGAGTAGTGCAGCGAGGCCCAAGTTCAAGGGCTTCTGGCTTCCTCATCCCTTTGTCCTTTCCTGTTTTCATGTTAGATTTGGCAGGTTTGGGGAAACAACCTGAGAGGAGAAGTAGAGGGAAGGCAAGCTGACAGTCAATCCTCCGGACGTTTGGAGTAATCAATGCTGCTCAGGGGTCCTTCGGCCATACGGAAGGAAGCGTGAGGGTGTTCTTGTTGTATATCTCGTGGCTAAGCCAGACCCGGACCCGGACAGCTCATGTCTGGGGACCGGATGCATGTCCAGTCGGGTCCAGACGTTTGGACTTCTGGACACATCCGTCCGGAACGTTAAAAAAAAAAAAAAAGTAATAAAAAAATCTGAAAAAAAAGTATGTTTTGACAGTTATGGAGAATAAAAATACAAACCACTTTTGCCTCAGAGTCATGTTCGAATTCCTAGCCAAGCTCGAGTTAAAAGTCAAAAACTTATTAATAAATTAATAATTGAAAAAACGGGTATGTAATATGTATAATAAATTATTATACAGATAGATCACGTCCGCACCCCAAAAAAAAACAAAAACGGGCCTGAAAACCCCCCAAAACAAGTTGGGGGCTCGGCTCCCCAGTGGGGAGGGTCCTGCACCGTTTTTATTTTTATGTTTATCCCTTGAAATTTAGCAGACCCGGACCTTCCAGACCGGACGTCTGGAGTCGGGACTGAATCCA